CCGGGCCGCCGCCCGCCTTCCGCATGCACTACAAGGGTGAGCGGGGCCGGGGGGCGGGGGGCGTCTGGTGCCACCCGGCCGAGGGGTCTGACGGCGAGTCCCGCTCTCTCTAGATGAAGACGGGGACCTGATCGCTTTTTCCAGCGATGAAGAACTGGAGCTGGCCCTGCCCTATGTCCAGGACGGTGTTCTCCGCGTTTACATCAAAGGTAACGTTTTTGGCCCTGAACAGGCCACCCGCCCCGTCCCCGGGGGGCCGGTGTAGCCCGCAGCCTCTGGAGGAGGGGCTGAACGAAGGACAAAGTAGGAGACCCCTCTGCTGAGGTAAGGTGGACAAACTTACCGGTTTCCTCCTAGCCCTGTAGTCTCAGCTGGTCAGAAAAGGCCATTTTAGTTGTGCTGGCTACCTGGAAACACGTGACTGGCACTGATCTCGTTAATGTTAACAGTGATATGTCAAGAAGCTGAAATTGCAGTCCTTTCATCAGTGCTTAGTTGCCCCCTACTGCCTTGTGTTGATTTAGATACCTCCAGAGCGTTGTCAACAGTCTAAGGAGTTAAACAAGCTGTCGCTGTTGTCCCCATTTGCATCTGTTATGTCTCGTGGCATTTCTTAGATCCCTCTTATGAAGCCTTTTGTCTGGACGATGCCCAGGAAGGTAGGGCAAGAAGCCAAACGGAGTAGCGCGCTGTTAATCAAATGCAAACATGGAAAGAGAATCTATTAAGGATAAGGCCTGTTCAGACCAAGGAGCAGGTATTTTGGTGAAACCACTTCACTCTTGGTTCAGGTTCTCTTACGTGCCCCCGGCTTGTGTTTGGCAGCTAGCATAAAAATAAACTGACCTAGTAAGTCAATCCTGCTGTAACAAGTGCTGTTTGTTTCCTTCTCCCCTGCCTGATTCCCAGCCTTTAAATAGTAACCTGGTTCTAGACACAGTCTCCTTTCCTTAACAGAGAAAAAAGAGTGCAAGCGAGAACATCGTGCACAATGCAGCCAGGAGCCTCCCCGTGATATGGTGCATCCCAATGTGATCTGTGATGGCTGTGAAGGACCAGTGGTGGGTGCTAGGTTCAAGTGCACTGTCTGTCCAGACTATGACTTGTGCAGCACCTGTGAGAGTAAGGGCATCCACAAGGAGCACAACATGGTGATGTTTCAAAGTCCACTGCTACATCCGTTTGAGGTGAGCAAAATCCTGTTTGCTAATCTCCCTCCATAGCAGAAGGATTTTCCCTGAAAGCTGCTAAACCAAATCAATTCCTTTAGTTTCAGCTGCTCGTAATCTTTGTATGAACACAGTCACATGAACATTACTCTTTCCAGTGGCTTCCCCGAGGACGTTGGCTCCGTAAGATGCGGCATGGTGTTCCACCCTTCCCATGGATGCATCGCTGGGGATATCCTGTTCCTCCAGCTCCTTGTCAAAACTCTGAACAAGCCCAAGCCAGTGCTGCAGCCTCCAGTCCACCCACTGAGCAAGGTAAGAGGAGAGGCTCTGGTAAACAAAGGTGGTGGTGGAAGTGGCGGGGTAGATGAGGCTTCTGCAGCATGGTGTGGAATTGTGGAATCTGGGTGGAAAAACACTGAAACTATTTGCTTAAAATAATTAGCACCTTCCAGGGCAGAGTAGGATTGTCTTAAGGCATGCTTGGGCCCATGCAATAGAGGAGGATACAGAGATACTACTTGAGATCGTATCAAGGAGAGCTATGTTAAATCAAGCTCATCACTACTGTGCTCTAGACGTGCCTCTCGCAGCATGGCTAATGAACTAGCTCTGGAACAGAAAACCAATGACAAGAGCCTTGTTAAGGCTCACGTCGCTATACTGCCTTTCTTGTGCAGTGTAGATAAGCAATAGAAAACAAATATGGAGATCTCTTGAGGGATATGCTCTATAAATGCCGTCTCCCCACTGAGCTGCTGTGTGCTAACAGAAACTGTTTTTCTAGAAGCTTCTACTAACAGCCAGCCTCAGGACCCCAATGTCACCTTCTTAAAGAATGTTGGGGAGAGTGTTGCAGCTTTTCTGAGTCCCCTGGGTAAGTGACTTCCGGTTTGTCCATCCCTGAGACTGGCTTTGTGTGGCTCCTTTTAACAGGAGCAATGAGCTGTTGTGACTGATACCTGATACCTCATGCTGCCAAGCCTGAAAACCTTAACTTATTCCCTGTCCTAAAAATGCCTAGACTTAAAACATCCACTTAATACCCTTCCGGAGTCCCCATTTGGAAGGAAATGAGGAAAGACGATATGTTTTGACTGTATCATGAAGTCAGAGATGACTCAGGGCTTTGCCTTGCTTATATGGATGTGTACAACTTCTGCTTTGACCCTCTAAATGTATGGAGCACTTGTCCCAAGAGGAAGATGAGGCTGTCTGCTGGTTAACTCTTCTTTGTTTTAAAACAAAAGTTTCTCACTTAATTCCTGCATGTTCCATAGGAAACTGTAGAAATGCTAACGAGTTTAGGCCAGGATTAGCAAAGGCTCTTTCAGGGCTCAGCTTTGGAAAAAAATCTGTAAAACTCTTCCGAGGAAAGACGATATGTTTTGACTGTATTTGTATGTATCTCAAATGCTTTTATAGGTATTGAAGTTGATATTGATGTGGAACATGGAGGACAGAGGAGCAAAGTGACTCCTGCTTCTCCCCATCAAGAGAAGAACAGTGCTGAGCCCAGCAGCAGTACTGTTGACCAGAATAGTCAGACCAAACCAGACTGGAATAGCACAGATCCTGCTACAGAAGTGAGTGCTGTTGCAGAGCAGATACAAGACATGATGATAGATCCTCTGCCCACACAAATGGAAGAAGGAAACTTCCAGTCCCAGGTACAAGAACCATTACATGCATTTAATATGCTGTGCATGGTGGGACTGAATATTAAGATTTTAGCCAATTAAGTGATTAACAGTCTCTTTCTGCTTCAGAGCATTCAGCTGCTTCTGTGCTGGGACTTAACTGTGGGTGTACTTCTACTATTAAAGGCAGATAGTAGGAACATCTTTCCTACCTGGAAAGCACTGAAACACCTGGACCTTCTTTCTTGCCATTTCAGGAACACAGTGAGTCTAGCAGTTCATCAGGTGGTGATGAGGACTGGACCCACTTATCTTCTAAAGAAGTGGATCCCTCCACAGGTGAACTACAGTCACTACAAATGCCAGAGACAGAGGGTCCCAGCTCCTTGAACCCATCTCAGGGTCCCACCCAAACAGGACCCACAGGATTGCGTGAGGCTGCGCTCTACCCACATCTCCCACCAGGTATGGAAATGCACGCAGGTTTCATAGCTGAGGAACTTTCACTCAGGCAGTGCCAGCTTGCCCATTATAAGAATGAGCTGCTTTAGAGGTTGCTTAAGTTGCTTAACTTGTCCATAATCTTGCTATTAGGCAAACGTATGGCAGCACTTACCTGACTGTTCCTAGTAGGGTGCTCTCTTCCCCTATAATGTAGGCAACTAAATCTTAACATACTTCTGACTGCTTAGACTAGTACCAATACCCCACTCAACCAACATGAAAAAAGGTGGTATCCTAAGTCATCTCCTTGCTAATGTTATTAAAGGAGAGTGCTTAGAGGGGCACAGAGTAGTACATCCTGTGACCTAAGATAGCATTTTTTTCCTGGTGGGAGCTAGTAAGAGTATGCCAGGCCACTTCACTGAGGTCAACAGTAGAGTCCTACAACAAGGCCAACCAGTCTGACTCAGCAGTTTACTTAGCAGGTTACACAGGTTTGTTTTATTGCCTCAATCTTTCCCTTCCTAAGGGATAAAGGAGAACATGTTTTCAACACTTACCAGCTAGGATAGATTTCCTAGGGCTAGTGCCCATGTACCTACTCTGTGGGAGGGGAGCCTTCCTTGGTCTACCAATTAAATTTAAAGTGTTCCAACTTTAAACTGTACTTCTCTTAACAGAGGCAGACCCTCGCCTGATCGAGTCACTGTCCCAGATGCTCTCCATGGGCTTCTCTGATGAGGGTGGATGGCTCACTCGACTCCTGCAGACAAAGAACTGCGACATCGGGGCAGCGCTGGATGCCATCCAGTATTCCAAGCATCCACCTCACTTGTAGTAGTCTGTGTAACAAAAAGCACTTTCTTCCTAACTGAAAGCAGCCACTGCACTACAACTCTAGCAGTTCATCCTTCTTCCTGCTAAGGGTTTCTGTCTCATGTTCCTAAGTGCTTGTAGAATGGAGGAAAAATAAATATTCTTTCCTGCCTTTCATGTCTGATGAGCCTGTGTGAGTGTTTTAACAGTTGTGTTGCTTTGTTCACTGGCATGTACTTTAGAAGACAGGGGAGAGACTAGGCTAACAGCATGCAGTTCACTAAGCAGCTCACACAGTGTGAAGGAGGCAGCCCAGGACTGCAGGCCTGCCTCTGCATTATGGGTAAATGCCAAATTTGGCTGTGTATGTTTTTTTTTTTTTTTTTTAAAAGAGTAACCTGGCACTTCCTGACTCAGAACTCAGTTATGGGCTCTTAGTACAAGGACTATGCTTCTGAAAACAAATCAAATGCTTTGTTGCTTAAGTTGAAGACTGCAGTGCAGCCCTGCAAGAAAGAGTTGCTATGGGCAAAGGGAACTAATCACAAATTGAATTGTGCCAGACAGAAATAGATACTTGGCTAACTGTAGGGAGACTTGAGGTTCTTACCTATGCTGATCTATTCATTCAGTCTTGTTTCCATGGCAGGACACCACTGTGTAAATCTAGTACTTAGCACAGAAAAAGTCTTCCCCTTCCTCATACCCTTCCCCTAGACACAGCAGTAGAGCAAGTGAACATCTTTAATAGTGCAGTTCTGAAAGGGTTAAATCAAAAATAGATGGCTCTGTTCAAAATCTAGCCTCAGTTTTCAACATTACGAAATAAATTGTACAGATACAAACATGAAAGCAAGGACAAAGAGCCCAGAGCTTCTCAGAGATCATCATCAAACTCATCCCCTGTGCAGAACAGGTGTTCATGCAAACTGCTATAGGGCTTTAGGCCAGGGTCACAGTTAGCAAGGGTAGTTGCAGGAGGGCAAACAGGCATTACTGGGTGAGCCACATGGCACCTTCCTGCAGCGGTATCTGAGACACCGGATCCTGCCCTCAGCAAACAGCCATGAGGTTCTTTGAACAACACACGCTCATCACCTGAGCAAGTGACAGGCAGCATGGTGCTAGGCAATTTTGAGACGAGCTGCTCAGTGCTAGCAAGGCACTTTTTAAACTCAGTGCCTACACCTAGAGGTAGAACGCTTCCAGCTTGTTTGGCATATCTACTGGCCATAAAGATGTCTGCTGCAGTGGTGCTGTGTAGCCCCAACTTTCTACTGCCCTCCTGTGGTGACAAGGCGACCTTGGCAGCATTTTTACTACAGTTGTCAGAACGTGAGAGAAATTTTTCCCACTTTGAGGACGTCGCACAAGCTGCCGGGGTTTGTGTATTCCCATCAGACACCACAGACTCACAGAGAGCAGGAACCACACTGTTTCCACAGATGGCCTCTCCATCACCTTGATCAGGCACTGCTACTGAACATTGCTTGCGCTGTAACAAGAAAGAGAGCTCCGTTAGAAATCCTCCCCACGCAGCCAAGCTGCACAGAGGCAGGCAAAGAAACAGCATTCTTGTCCTTCAAATGCACCCAAGTTTTCACCCGCACTCTGAGGCGGCGCTGAGGCTGATGCTCTGGGCAGGCCTCTGAACTCTGGGCTTTGAAGCCCAAGGCCAGCTTCATTAGCATGGCATGTTATCACAGTAACCTTAATAATTGCTTGCTATGCAGGCACTGCTCAGTAAGGCAAGGAAGAACAGACAGTGCCTGTGCTGATCCAGGAATCAACCACTCAACCACTTACTTAGCTTACTCAGGGTGGCATTGTTTTTGCGCCTAACCTCTTTCAGAGACCAACTCCCGATACAATTTTCTTCTTCTCCTCCTCCATCATTCAAATAGAAGAGCAGAGGAAGACTGTTACAACATTTGAATATTACCATGACACAAGAGAGGCCAGGAGGATAGTTCTGTTTTACTGGTAGGAACCATACAGTGCTACTGAAATACCTCAGAGGTTTTAACCTTTTTGCCTTGGTAGGCAAGCTGGAAAGCTCCATTTTCCTCTGACAACTCCTGAACACCAGTGTAGGGGAAGCTGTTCTGCTGTTTCCTGGCCAAGAGAACCATTCACAAAAAGGACAGGTTAGCGCCACTGGGAATTTATCACTAACAGATCACCAAAGAAAGATGTTCACAAAAAGAATGACTCCACCACTAAGTGCAGTTTTGCCCCCAAGTACCGAACCCCTGCCCAGGTCAGGCCAGGTCGCTCACTGCAACCTGTACTTTGTGCAGCTGTCAATCAGACCTGCGCTACCTCCCACACCCCTGAACCAAACTTCACCATTTAAAGGTAGGAATTATATTAAAAAAAAAAAATTCTGTACCTTTGTTCTTCCACAGTGTTCTTCCTCCAGGAACAGAACTGTTGTCTTTCTGTACTTCCCGATTCCTTCTCCTCTTCATCTTCCAGAGTTTCACTGCCCTGGTCCAGATATTTACTCCAGCGACTGCCTTCTGCCTTTCCTTCCTACAGCATTAGAGAATTACTGAAAACAACCATATATAGGGCTCTCGTTTTGGGGGTTTCTAATGTAAGTAAGTGCTGGATGCCTCAAATCACAGGTCCGTTTAGGATGTGTTTCTGAATCATACTCCCAGATTCGGTATCTTGTTCCCTCTCTGCTGGAGCCTCTCTGATTACATATGCGATCGCAGCTGTCTGGACCAATACAAAGGGATCACTGATTTCACTCTCATTCACCTACTTTGCTAGGGGTTGGTATTTACTTCAGCTCTGTAAGTATCTTACCTGCCGGACCAAACTGTCTTCCCACTGGACTGCTGCTATATGCTTGTTGTCATCTACAGATTTTTCTATGCACCTAAAAGAGATGTTTAAATTGGAGTTTCTAGAATACACTTTGGTCAATTTATATTTTTCTTATCACCTAGTAATTGCACAAGGGATAGGACCTCGGGCAAAAAGCACGTCAGAAAAAAAAGGATCTGCACAAAAGCAGATGTCAAATGAAAGATTTGCAAAATATATTATCCAAATAATTCTGAAAAATCTGTATAGTTAGAGGGCAGCCCTCTTTCCTCCTATACACATAGAGTAGCAAGTTTGATTTAAAGCTGCTAGTCATGAAATGACAAATTATAAGCAATCATAACTAGGGATATAACAGCGTGCCTCTTGGGATAACAGCTGAAAGTCACTAATTGTAGCCTAATCAACAAGGAAAAGGGAAAGTATTTTCAAAACACCTTGAGAATAACAGTAGTGACACTATTTTACAAGAAAACAAAATCCAGGTTTTCTTCCCACACAAGGTTTAACTCTGAAGCACTGCATATATACAACTAAGTTATCTGACCAAGTTTTGACTGATTTCTGAAAATAACCTTGAGTAAAAAGGAAGCTGTACAGACAACCAGACCAGTTCCAGATTAGGTGCTTTGTAGACGGAATCAGGAGTGAAATAAACAGGAAAGCACTACCCAGATTTTCCAGCCCAGCAGGCATTACACCCAAATGTTTGCACTAAAATAAGTCTGTTATCAATAGCAGCGGGGATTGCTCAACAGAGTCCCAAGGTGAAACCCCGGAGTGCTAACATTTAGGTAGCAACAACTTAGAGAATATTTCCTCTGAGGATGCTGGGATGCCTACCTGCACAGCTTGTCAGCCTGTAAGAGGGACACCTCCACAGTCAGCTCATCAAGCAGCAAACAAGGACCAATTTAAAAAAAAAAAAACAAAAAAACCCCAAATCCTATTGCATGTATTTTAATGGGCAAAGACCTAATCAACATACAATTAAGCTTATCTGAAAAAATTCCTAGTGAAAAGAAACATGCAAGGACACGAAGCAAACGGATAGTTTGTTTCTAAGAGCTGACAACAAGACTGGCAGGTTCCATGGTTTTACAAGGAGACAGAAAACCCTCCCTGTGAGCTCAGCCTACGTAACAGGTTCGCAGTATGTAAATACATGCACTAACTAACTGCAGCACATTAAAACAAACAGGTCAACATTAAACACTCTACCGAGATGTCCAGCTAAGTGCTTCCTCCACCTCTCCCTGCAGCAAGTTTAATTTTTGGACGTGGCGCCTACAGTCCAGCCCAGACCCTTCGCCGTAAACCTGTGAAAATAATGAAAACAAGGCCTAGGGAGCAGCCAAAAGGAAACGAGGCAGGGCGCTCCCCCACCCCAGGCAACATTCAAGTGCCGACAAGAACTGAAGCTCGTACATGCGGTAGGGCCTGTGTCAACCTGCGTAGGCCTAACTGTCACGCAGGGCTACCCGCTGCACGGGGGCACGCACCGCAGCGGGATGCCCCTGAACAGGGTGCTCACCGTGTGGGGCTACCTGCGGCGCATGGCTCCCCACTGCCGCTGCGCAGGGCCCCCCTCAGCACGCAGGGCTCCCCCTTGCCACTGCAAAGGGCTCCCCACGGCCACCGCACAGAGCTCCCACCGCACGGGACCCCTCTCCTCCACCACAGAGAGCTCCCTATGACCCCCCCCCCATTACACTCGGCCCCCCCCCCCACAGGC